CCCATCCTGCCTTTTGTTACCAATTACTGAATTACAGTCGCCTTGTCTGGTTTTCAGGTTCTAGGATTCAACCTTAGTCTAAGTGCATGGTAGGTACTCTATGTGCTCATAATTTGTAACCCATATACAGATCATAATTCCCTACATACGTACTCCAAGCTGACTAATTCCTGTGAAGCTTTAGGACTCTGCTACTTCTTTTGGTTCTTTTTTCAAATTAAGCGTCTTACTTAATACCCCATACCCCGTCCTTCATCTCCAGAATTCGGAGATCTCAGGTCTATCTTAAACATTCAACAATTTAGAACTGCTTTAAAATTTTATTCTTTAACCTAATTTGTGTGTTGACAAAGCATGTGAGTATACTACATAAACCAGTGTACATGGTGATCAGAGGGCAACATTTTAACCTTGTCAGAGTACAGGTCTTCTCTCCTTTCTGCCTGTGCAGGACACATTCCAGGCTAACTAGAAAATTCTGAATTTATCTTACTGAAATCATTCTGTTCAAAAAGCAAACACAAACTTACCGGAGCCCCCCCTAAAGTTGCTTCCTGGTCCTGGTCCAAAATTGCCACCGCCACCACGAGAATCCCCAAAACCAAAGTTTCCTAGGACATTATATCCTGATTAGTAGCAAGAACTCCAATAATATATACATATATACATACACACACATATAAAAATAAAATGTTACCTCCTCTTCCACTCCTAGAACTTTGGACTTCCTGCATTTCTTGTCTAGACAATGCCTTTCTAACTTCTGCATTGTGACCATTTATGGTGTGATATTTTTGCACTGAAAAACAAATAACAAATTGTCAATACCAACAGTAAGAGATTCTTAATTTAACCAGTATTTTTTCATATACAAAGCACACCTCATGACCCTAAGATACTTACAGACAATTTTATCCACAGGATCATGGTCATCAAAAGTAACAAAGCCAAAGCCTCTTTTCTTTCCAGATTGCCTATCAGTAATTATTTCAATAGTATCAATTTTTCCATATTCTTCAAAGTAATCTCTAAGGTGGTGTTCCTCAGTATCCTCCTTAATTCCACCAACAAACAGCTTCTTCACAGTCACATGGGCTCCTGGTTTCCCAGACTCCTACAATAATTACAAAGTTATCCTTACTAAAAAACCTTGATTATATCTTATATGTCCATCTTAAAACAAATTCCTCCAGATATAACAATAGGTTCAAAGACTGTAAGTCTTGGAAAAATATTTACAAAAAAAAAAAAAAGCCAGCACAAAAAGAACTCAACCTGTTTGGGTTTTCCTCACCTCTCTTGCTACAGCACGTTTTGGCTCAACCACCCTGCCATCGATGGAATGAGGCCTTGCAGCCATGGCAGCATCAACCTCGGCCATGGATGAGAAAGTTACAAAGCCAAATCCTCTTGATCTTTTGCTTGCAGGATCCCTCATAACCTTTAAATCCAAAAGATAAGCATTTAATTTCACAACACTAGAAACTAGCAATATAAATTAGAATGTATTAACACTTTTTATTTCATATTATTTACACACCAAATATATAGCCAGACTTTCAGAGTTAACGTACCACACAGTCTGTGAGCTTTCCCCATTGCTCATAGTAGTTTCTCAAACTTTCTTCTGTGGTTTCAAAGCTTAAGCCACCAATAAAGAGCTTACGGAACTGTTCCTTTTCTCTCTGCAAAGGAAAATACCATTTCAATTTTTATTTACATTTTCCTTTTGTACGCAGGAAATTAAATTCTTAAATATGAGGTGACCTGCAGGTAGAGTACCTTTTTCCTCTCCAAAGGAACAGTTTCTAAAGTTTTCTGGGGGGGAAAAAAAAAACTTACATCAAATTTAAACCATATGTTAAACTGCATATCAGTTGTGTTACACCAAAAATTGCCTGAGCTGAGCTATACAAGTTCCAAAGTTATTAATATTTGATCTAACTTTTAATTCATAAGTTTTCTCAATCTTATCAGATTTTCTTCAAAAATTTTCAGAAAAAAACATACCCAACTCTTCGGTCGTTTACGGGGTAGTAAAAAATTGTTTTGAAATTCATTAAATTCTACAACCCAAGCACAGAATTGTGTTACTTTTTAAATTAGAAGGAAAAAAGCCCCTTGCTAATGTTTCCAAATTCACCACTTCCAAGTTTCAGTTTCTGAAAAGTGGCATATTTGCATCTCCTTAAACTGCCCCCTCTGGTGTTAATTTTAAGTATCTCAAGAGAAAAAAAATCCAACTCTGAAACAAGCTCTATGAATGCTGAAACTCCAGACTAAACTCCTTAAATCCATGGTTCTGTCAGTCACTTATTACTGCGTTACCAATAACTAAGTTACAAAAATTTATCAAGATAGCTATAAACTAGGTCATACTATCAGGGACCTATCATGATTGCACAACTAAATGAAAAAGCAAAATTACAAAAAATTCCGTTGTTTTATTGTTCAGCCTAAATCTGTAAGTTTCTCTAAAATATGCTCAAAAAAGCCAATGTTTACTACACTTTTTAGGTTCTGAATTTTTAATAGAAATCACCAAAATTGTTTTAAATTATCATGTTACAAAAGCCTTAATCAGGACTCCATGGAGTTTTGAGATAGCTCTACTAAAATGTCAGTAAATTGGCTGCCCTTAAATCTAAATCGCAAGTATTAAATAAACCTAGTTTTTTCAAGTCACTAACGAAAAGCAAAAGCTCTTTACTTACCTCATTGTTTTTTCCAAACTTACCAGACGTCCACTATCGATTATAAACAAGGTTATTTTATTTATAAATGTGCTTAGAGTCAAAGAAAATAACCCTTTCAACTCGAAATCTTATGCTTATCAATGTAATGATCTATCATTTCCAACAAATAAAAAAATAAAAATCCCGAATGACCAAGTTGAAACACACTGTGACCCTGAACTAACTTTTTATATAGCTAGGACATAGAGTATTATTCGCTCAGCCATGCTTTAAGCGGTGGCTAACTGTGAAAAGTCAGTTATTTCACTTCCTTATTGTGACCACGTGTTAAGGATCTGTTTATTTTACCAACAAATCCTAAGATTCTCTTAAAAATGCTCATAATTCGAATTATTGCAAGCGGTAGATTCCTTTAGGGCGGTAAAGGTATCCTGCAGGAAATCTGAAATAATCCTCCGCTCCCTAGATTCCAGATGAGGGCTCCGATCATTCCACTTTGACTTCCTACTACTGTTCAAGTGCTTTACCACAGCACTCGTAATCTTAAGCTAACCTTAAATATTAGGAAAAATAATCTTTTTGCAGTGGGGATGCCTCCAGCAACCCGCCCAGGCCTTGCTGGGTTGTACTACGTTCTCTTGGCCTGTTCCAGTAAACCTCGTGGAGCGCCGCCACCCCCGCCCCCACCCGGCTCTTCGATGTGGCTTCTGAACGCAATGGCGCCATTTCATCGAGGGGAAGGCAGAGCGCCTTTAGCGAGGTGCGCAGGACTCCTAAGATCCAACCTTAAACGCTATATCCGCCTCGAAATGATACGAAAACTCCCCAAAATAAAGAAAATCGCTAAGCACCTCTACACAATTGTAAAAAAGAAACCAAACTAATAAACCCTAAGTGTTGAAAGCGAAATCGCAGCGAGGAAGGAGACGGGAAAATGGCGGACGCCAAATCCGGTTCCCGGGAGGGGGGGAGGGGAAGCTCCGCAGACTCGCTCCGGGGAGTCGCGGGGCCCGGAAACCTTCCGCCGCGACCATAAACGGGTCCCTAGGCCCGCGCATACCGAGAACGGACAGAAATGACCCGCTCCCGCGCTCCTTTAGCAGTCCAGGAGACCGCGGCGGGCACGTCCCATCCCCCACCCCAGCTAAGGGAAATGGCGCCCGGCGGCTGAGGGCGGGGAAGGCGTCCGGACAATCGGGCCTCAGACAACGACCCCTCAGAAAACTCGCCAAGACCAACCGCCACTCGAGTGGCTGCCTTCCCTCCGCCGGACCACGGAGGCGGGTGGCCGGGTTCCACTGCGATGCCTACGGCCTCGCCGTGCCCTTTCTAATAACGCATTGATTTCAAACCCGTTACCTCCATCGCGGACTCAGTCGCTTCAGCCCGATTTCCCGCAGCCGAGCGAGATGAGAAAGACCTCCGCGGACGGACACGCACGGGACTCGTCCTGACGCTGGAGTGAGAGCAGCCGGTGGCCAAGAAACAGCGCCGCACGGAGCACCTGCACACGGGACCGGCGCCGCTGCTACTGCCGCTGGAGCCGAGACCGCCGCTTTTCTAGAACCTTCCCCCCACTAACGCGTCTCCGCTTACGTCAGGCCGTTACGTAAACGTCCTAACCGCCGCCAATGGCGGGAAGGGCCTACACTCTCCCTACGCCAAGTACGTACTCCCCCGCCGTTATTTGCAGCGGGACTGCTTTACGTCACTGGCGCAACTCGCTTTAGTGAATTGCGGAAGGCTCGCGCTCGGCGTGTTACTACGTCCGGAACTAGGTCCGGCCCCCCACCTCCGCGTAGGCAGTCGAGAAACGGTCGCGCAGTTTGAAATTAACGCCGTCGGGAGGGGCTTAAGCCGGAGCTCGGGCGTGCGGCCACCCAAGCGCGCTCCCTGCGGCTACGCCTTTGCCAAGCCTGTCTCCGGCTTCTCGAGCCACACTGATATTTCTACCTGTCTGTCCCAAGGGTTGTGCTCACTCGGTCCCTCCCAGAAGGACTTGTAGTCCAAGTACAACCCCCGATGCCAAAAGCCTTGGGATCCCGCGCCCCGTGAGAGGTGGTGCTTAAAGAACCCCGCTGTTTATCTCCCGGGCCCTCAAGGTCCGGGCGAGGAGGTGGGCGGAGCCCAGCTTTGGCGCGCTTGCAGACGCAGAGAAGCCTCCGCGGTCCGGCCTGCCTGCCCTCCCCCACCCCCTCAGGAGACCCCCGGGCGCCACGCCGCGGACGGTGAGCTGCGCGCGCGCCGCCCCCCGCAGGACGCGTTCCCGGCGGGCCCCGCGCGGCCAGGGCGTGGGCGGTGCCTCCCCCTCCCCCCCGGCAGAGCGGCCCGCGCCCCCTCCCCTCGGATGTGGCTGAGCTGAAGCGCGCAGGCGGGAGACTCTGCAGGATCCGCGGCCCCGAGCATCTTGAGCGGTGAAGTCCGTGCCTCGCTTTCTTATCTTGCGCGTGGTGGGGGGGTTAGGATGCTCCGTGCGCCAGAGCTTTTTGCGGGGAGGCTGCGGGCCATGCGGGCCGCGGGCGGCGGGGAGGCGGGCGGCGGGGAGGCTGGCTGGGGCCTCCCGGAGGCGCCGCGCCGGCGTACGGGGAGACGGTACAGTCGTGCATGAGGGAGGGTTGGAGCCGGATGACAGCTGCCGAGACTGCAGACAAAGCGCGGGCCTCCCCTCCCCCAGCCTCGCCGCGGGCCCACAGGGAGAGCGGCGCAGGCTCTGCTGCTGCGAGGCCCGAGGCCCCGGGCTTCGGCGCGCTCCCGGCTTACGTGGCCGCCGCCGGATGGGGGAGGCGCGGGCCCGTGGCGCAGTGCCCTTGAGCCCCCGCCGCCGCCTTTGTTTCTCCCCGCGGAGGCGCTGACCACGAGGCCCCGCTCTCGAGCGGGGTACGGGCTCCCCTCCTTGGGCTCTGAAGGGGGGGCCCTCCTCGAAGTGGAGCGGGCGTGAAGGAGGTCGATTTCTTCTATCATTATCAGGGACAGTGTTGGGTGTTTGAGGCAGGAGGATTGCCAGGAGTTGAAGCCCAGACTGGACTACAGAGAGTGATTACTGTCCCTCCCCACCCCGAAAAAAAAAAAAGCCAGGGATAGGACTGAGACATCTTACTGTTCCTTTTATATCGTGATTGAAGAGGGAGGGCTTCTGAAAAAATAAGGATGGAATTATATGAGCTCCTTGGAGTTTTCAGAAATCTAAAGAAAAAAATCTTAATGGTAATTTACCGACAGAAGGTAAATAATCGTAACTGGTTTTGAAACAGAAGATTGCCTTTCATTCAAAATAAACATTGAAATTGTTAAAATTCTATTTGGACTGCAAAAGTAATTCTCACCAAGTAAAGTTGTCTGAGGTACCAGTGTTCCTAGTAAGATTATTTTTACTAACTTGGTTAAAGCACTAACATACTAATAACACAGGAACTCAGAACTGTTTTCCTGCATTTTTACCCGAAATTTACGTGTTGAAATCCCACACAAAACTTGAAGTTGCCTTTTGTGTGTCATTAAAATTTAACTGTCCTAAATTTTTTTTCTTGCAATAGCTCTTCAAGTCTCCGATTAAATTTTAAAAATGGCCTCCAATAAAACTACATTGGTAAGTTTGTGAAAATCTAAAACGTAAGAATCTTAACTGAAGGGTTTTTTTTCTTTAAATAAAAATTCCAGCTAAGAAGCCATGTGATGGTGGATGTCTTGAGTTTGAGGCCAGTCTGGTCTGCAGTGTGAGTTCTAGAATACAGAAAAACCCTGTCTAGGGGTGTAGGTGGGAGAGTTGAAATTCATGAAGGACATGGTTGTGCATTCCTTTAATCTCATCATAAGTGGGTGAATTGCTGTGAGTTAGAAGCCAGCCTACTTAAGTGTACTTACCAGCACTCTAAAGAAAAACAGGGCTTGTTACACTAAAATAAGGGTTCCCTTGAGGAGGATCACAATGCTTTTGTTTTGTTTGTTTGTTTTTCGAGACAGGGTTTCTCTGTGTAGCCCTGGGTGTCCTGGAACTTTCTGTGTACCTATTTACCTGCCTCTGTCTCTGGAGTACTGGGATTAAAGGTGTGGGCTACCACTGCCTGACCGACCCAGTTTTATTTATTTTAAATATAACTTGACAAAAATAAATTTGCCTAACTTGCTAGAAATCCCAAGAAAACAAGCATTCATTGGATTTAGCAACAGTCAGGAAATTGCTTAAAAGAAACAGAATTGATCTAACAGACTTTCACTCCTAGACACAGTTTGCAATTCTTGCTCATGGCAACATGAGCTATATCTAAATTCACTCTATGTTCACTAATGAATACTATTTCCAGAACAGTACAAATTCAAGGGCAATCATGCCAAGCAACAAGACTTTTGGAGAGCTTCCCAGGTTAAGTTCATTAACAATATCTATGTAGAAATCAAGGAACAATCTTAGGAATCTGTTCGTTCTTTCCACCTTTCCTTGGGCTCTGGAGACTTTTATAACCCAAACATGCATTTTTACCTCAAAACAAAAACATCCAGCAAAAGCTGTACAACAATGTTTCTAAATATGCATTGTGCTTGGGAGGCAGAGACAGGCGGATTTCTCAGTTTGAGGCCAGCCTGGTCCACAGAGTGAGTTCCAGGACAGCCAGGGCTACACGGAGAAACCAAAAAAGAAGGGAGGGGGAAAATGGGTCTGAAGGTGTATGTTTATGATCCAGCGTGTGAGATTCTGAAGCAGGCAGATTGCCTTGAGCTTGAGGCTAGCCTGGACTCTAAAATACTAATTAGTCAGGGCTGCATAGCAAGGCCCTGTCTAGAAAAAGATTCATGTCAAAAGAATGAAATTTATAGTTAGGGTTTCTACATTAATTATGACACATTAATTACAAGCATATAGGGGTGTGTGCATTAACATTTAAGTAAAACAAAACATGGGTTTTGATCCTTAATTTTCTGACCAAAATGGTCAGGAGGGTATTTTTACCTCATATAGTGCATGGCTTCAACTGGTCTGCAGAGGGGACTAGATTCTGTAATCGGAAGCCCGTCTGATCACTCTTAGATGACCCAGTACAGGTTCAAGCCTTAAATGATAAAGCATGAATCATCTGGTAAACTCTATAGGATGTTGTTAATGTACATATGGCCCTATGTGCTGATGGATTTAAGGATCCTGGTTTTGAGGGGCTGCTGTTGATTTTTTTCCTGCTTGGATCCTTCACTTGGTAGATGGTTTGAGGGACTAGACATTGGGGGAGGGGTGTTTTTAATCACTCCTTTAAATTTTTCTAAGTAGCATCTGTAGTTATGCATGGTGGTACATACCTATAATTCCAGCACTGGGAGAGGCTGAGTCAGAAAGTTAAAGGCTAGACTGGGCTACTATCTCAGAACTTGGGTGCAGAGATAGCACTGCTGTGGAAATGAAATGCTTGAGCATACTGTATTGGGTTGTTCTGGTATTCCATGGAGACTTGTAATTAACCATCTCAAGGTTTTTAAAAACACTTCTAGCACATCTGCTTATTTGCTTAGGCAGTACTCATAAGTAATGTTCTACCTACCCACCCCCAGTAGAAAAAAAGACGTTTTTTATTTGGGTGACAAGGTTTTTCTCTGAAGCCCAGATAATCAACATATTGCAGCTTCCTAAGTGCTACTAGTACGCACCTCATGCCCCTCTTGAAAGTAAACTTAGTTGGCTTCCAATTAAGATTCTAAGTTGAAAAACCTAGAAGGAAATAACTTTTCTCCTTCCAGTGAAATTAAACCAGCATTTTGGACTGTAAAAGTGACACTATTTTAGCTTTGTTTGAGTAGTCAGTAAAATTATCTACATGTAAAAATTAATGAAACAGTCTTACCCTTTTTAGTTTATATGTGGTTCCCATGATTGAGCCTGTAGTTGATAGTAAAACTCTGATTTTACTTTGCAGTTAATTTTTGTCCTTGATTTTAGGTTGATGTTGGGAAAGGGATGTCTTGGAGCTGTAGTTTTAGTAGTTCTACTTTGCTGTACTGTACTTAAAAGACCAACCATTTGGTGGGGTATGGTGGGCCATGCCTATAAATTGAGTACTTGAGGTATAGATTCTGGTGGATTGGGTCTTCTTAGGTTACATAGTGAATTTGGAGGCTACCCTGCTACATGTGACTCTGTCTTGGGATTTTGTTTTGGTATGAGTTTGCTTGTTTTTAACTATCACACTTCAGTCTTAATTGCTTTTCTATTGCTGTGATAAGACCCCATGACCAAGGAGAGTTTATTGAGATTTACAATTCAAGAGGGTGAGGCCATGATCATCCTGCTGAGAAGATGGCAGCAGGCATAGCACTTAAGGCAGTAGCTGAGAGGTACAAGGCAGAGCTAAATGCAAACAACATTGACTTTTGAAACCTCACACCGCCACCCCATCCCCCCCAACATACCTCATCCAACAAGGCCATGCAATCCTCAGTTATTCCGCCTGTGTCTGCGCCTGTAGAGGCCATTCTCACATAAAGGACAGTTAGCAGAGCTGCTCCATTCTCCATCACTGTCTGTTTCCTAGTTACTTGTCACTGTGTTGTGATTAAATGAGTGGTTTTGGGAAACTTGCTCATGTAGAATCCTGGGAAGAAAACTGGGAAAGGATAAGATTATTTCTCAGATGGTTGGGGTTTTTGGTGGTTTTTGTTTTTTAATTCTGTTGTACTGGTTAAGGGTATTTGGTTATAAGTGTAAATTGGTGGAGGAGAGATTTTGTTGTATTATCTATTGACTTTCTAGGAGGTGCTTATCCTGGATCACAGTAGTTTAAAGGGATACAGGGTTAAAAACTTTAAAAAACAAAAAATGTGTCAGATAAAATGAACAATTAGGCCTTAAAATGTACTCAAGTTTTAAATTTTTCTTAATTTCTCTTTTGTTTTAGCAAAAAATGGGAAAGAAACAGAATGGAAAGAGTAAAAAAGTTGAAGAGGCAGAGCCTGAAGAATTTGTGGTAGAAAAAGTGCTGGACCGCCGTGTAGTGAATGGGAAGGTCGAGTACTTCCTCAAGTGGAAGGGGTTCACAGAGTAAGAGACCACCGCAGCGCTTCACTCCTTACGGTTCTGTCTTTCTCAGCCAGGGTGTCTCGGGTAGCACAGACTAGCCTTCTCCCAAGTGCTGGGATTGTACTTGTTTACTATGCCTCATTTATGCATTTAGTTACTGTTTGTTCTGTTGTGATAGGGTCCCAGGAATCCCAAATTGTCCTTGAACTTGCTATAAAGGATAGCCTTAAACTCTGTTATGTCTGGTTCTGCCTCCCCAGAGCATAGGCATGTAGCACCACACATGTGTTACTTGGTCCTAAGAATTGAGCCCAGAGTTTTTATGCATGCTCAACCAGTACTCTTCACCACCTGCATCCTTGGTCCTTAGGTTAGTACCTTCAATGGTGCTTAGAAGAGCATTAAGTTTTACTCTTAGCTTAGATATTGAACCAGTTTGATTTGTTTGAGGTTTATTTAAGGCTTTAGGGTCTGGAGAGATAACTCAATGGTTAAGAACACTTGTTCTTGCAAAGGACCAGGGTTTGATGCCCAGCACCTACATAGTGGCTCAAAATCATCTAACTCAAATTTGAGGGTATCCAGTACCATCTTCTGACCTTGTGAAGCACCAAGCACCACTCGTGATGCACATGTATGCATACATGCAGAAAAAAACATTAATACACTTAAAAAATTAAACTAAAAAAGGTAAGGTTTTTAGCAACAGTTGAAACATAAAATTTTACAGTTTATTTCTGTAGACACTCAAACTTAGAAAATTAAAGTTCATTAAGATGTAATCTTTAGAATGCAAAGGATTAAATGTTGAGACATTTTTAAACAAAGCGTGTTGTATCGAATTCTCCTTCCCTGTTGTCTCTCCCACTTCCTAACCCATCTTTCCCTACTTCCACTAAGGCATTTGAATGTTGTATTAAACATTGTACTAGTTTGAATTATCTATGACCGAGAACCTAACATTTACAGTATAATATATTTATAGTAGAGAAGATAACACTGCAATAACACTAAATTTGAGACATCAGCACTCCTCCCTAAATTAAGTTTTGCCAGTGTTATAGTCTGAAGATGTAAGCAGAGCAAGTTATTGAGCCTAAGATGTTAATGGTGCCATTCCTAGTCCCCTGAAGTCCCTCATTCCAGCTGTCTCTATAAAGGTGTTTATGGCCAGAGCACAAGACATTAGTCAGTCTGTCAGTTGGTGCAAGGTGATCGATCACACTTCCATATTTGTGAGGTGTTCATTTTCTTCATGGGAATGGTGATTTCAGCTTTGTGCTGAGGCAGGACTGTCAGTCTTACCCCTGAAGCATCTATATGTGACTGTTTTAGGCTTCGGGGGCCATTGACTTGTCTTTACTCCCTCTGCATGAGAAGCAGAAAGGCAGCAATAGATGATGCATTAAGTGAATGTGACTATTACAATGCCAACTATGAGCCCTGGAATATTCATTCATTCATACATATTCATTCATATTCTCATATTCATTCTCTCTCTCTCTCTCTCTCTCTCTCTCTCTCTCTCTCTCTCTCTCT